AACAGGGCTCCGGAACGGATCCCGTTCGCAGCCGGAGGTATCACTGTATATAATAATAGTTGTCTGTTATAAAATGCTGTTATTTGACAAATTGGATTCCTTGTTCCCTGAAACCATATAAATGTTATTATCTAAATAATCAAAATAGGGATAAGTTAAAACACACACAAAGAGAGAGAGAGAGAGAGAGAGAGAGATGCAGAGCAAAACCACTAATATGTTTGTGATAGTAGTTAATAAAGTATCTCTCAAGTTGTGAGTATTTGATTCATCCAAAGGTGATCTCAGGCAGTTTTATCTTGGAAACAGCAACCCTGGGTAGCTTTCATCAAAGACTGGCAGAATAAAGTATTGATTGAAATTGCAGCTTACCCAGGTAGCTTTGGGCATCATTCAAAAGGCATATCATTCAACTACATTGTAGACTCTGAAAGAAAACAAGGAAGTGTTGATGGGCGACCAGGAAGATTGGATTTTGAAGCAGGAGAAACGGGGCCATGTTAGAAAGAGTAAAAACAATTTAAAGCAAGGAGGCACACATTGCAAAACAAGATAGTCCTAACCTCTGATCAAAGTATTGTGCAAGATAAAGAACATAAGAGGATCAGCCAGAAGAAGACTGACCCATCTAGTTCAGCATCCTTTTTCCACAGACACCAGTAGGGAGCCTGAGAGCAGGATCTGACCATAGCAGCACTCTGGTGATTCCCCATAACTGGCATTCAGAGTCCTACTGCCTCCAACTCTGGAGTGGAGAACATGGTCGCTGATAGCCTTTCTCCTACATGAATTTGTCTAATCCTCTTTTAAAGCCATTCGGGTTTTGCTATGAAAATCGATAGCCCTCTTCAGCAGAGCCGGATTTAGGTCTGATGAGGCCCTAAGCTACTGAAGGTAATGGGGCCCTTTATATGTCTAGCTGTCCTTCGTCAACAATGAATTGTCTCTGTTTTTTGTGTTGAATATACAGTGGTACCTCGGGTTACATACGCTTCAGGTTACAGACTCCGCTAACCCAGAAATAGCTTCAGGTTAAGAACTTTGCATCAGGATAAGAACAGAAATCAGGCTCCGGTGACGCGGCGGCAGCAGGAGGCCCCATTAGCTAAAGTGGTCTTCAGGTTAACAACAGTTTCAGGTTAAGAACAGACCTCCGGAACGAATTAAGTACTTAACCCGAGGTACCACTGTACGCTATATGGTAATTTATGGACCTAATAGGTATCTAAAGCCATTTGCACCTAACAAAATATGTATTTTATCTTATATTTTGGAAATGTACATCCAGTTCTTTTTTCCTTTAAGTTTTTTTTGGGGGGGGCCCTAAGAGAGTGGGGTCCTAAGCTATAGCTTGTTTAGCTTATATGTAAAACTGACACTGCTCTTCAGGTGTGTATTGTGGGGGGGAGGACATGCTTAGAATGGGGCTGTACTTCTGGTCCCATACCTGAAGTCACATGGCCATAGCTGTCAACTTACAGATTTGAAAATAAGGAATCAGCAGCCAAAATAAGGGATTTTCCAGGCACAGGTATGTTCAACTTCTGAGCCCCTCTGAGCCAAAGGCAGAAAGCCCAGCCAGCAGCTAAATGAAGCCTCATCAATAAGGGACAGCAGCGGGACATGGTGCTGGGATAAGGGACTGTCCCGCCAAATAAGGGACACTTGACAGCTATGCACATGGCATCCCTCTGATGTCCACGGCTAATATGTGAACAATCGGAGTAGGAATCATCAGCACTATGCAATACTGAGAGTGGGGCCAGAGGAACCAGCCTCATTCTTCCAGTGATTCCCCTTCATGCGATGCACAGGTGAAGGTGGCTGATAGATGTGCATTTAACAAGCAGCCTCAGCAATTGCTATTATTTTGTGCCTCAGGTGCATTCCATGACAGTGAAGATAGAGAGCCAAAACCTTCAAATTCAGCTCACCTTATATTCCCTCCGAAAAAGTACTGTGGGCCTTTTCCCACCCCTTAGGAAAAAATGAGAAAACCAGGGGAGGGTCTTAAATTATTACAGAGCGAGGCAGAACAAAAACTGGAAAAATATGTGAATCAGAATCAGGTATTTCAAAGCCTTTTTTTAAAAAAATAGCCAGACCTTTTCATAAAATTGGCAGGCAATCTGTGACAGGAATTTGATGGGATACCCACAAGACAAAAACATTAATTATTTTGCTGTGTTTATGAAAAGCGGTGTTTGTTAAGTCTGAACTAGTGAGGCTACAGAAACCTTTGGCAATTAAAAAATGCAAATAGTCCTAGTCTCAGGTATTTACCATTCTGTGAAGGTGGTGGATATTTGCCGTCTAGTATTTTTAACAGATGACACATGGAAGTTAGGATCCAAGCCACTGTGAATAGGGTGTGTTTGGCTTATTATACATTTGATATTGTATATGCTCATCTATTAGCAGAAAATACTGAATGCACATGAATTTACGTATGTGGAATCATGCAATTCAGTGAATGCACTTGGTTGATTTATTTCTTAAATGATATTCATATATTAAATGTAAACGTAACTTAACATTTAGGCATGGCAGATTAAATAGGGTCACTGATATTCCATAACAGGATATACACATAAAAAAGCGGAATATACTGACTGACAGTGGAGTTCTCAATGCAAGGAGAAAGCTACGCAGAGGCAGCCAAGTATTTTAGGGATAAATTGCTCTAGTTCCATGTTGAGGAAAGTTGTTCTCGAAGGTGCTACTGGAAGGAAATTTTTTTTTACAGTGGTACCTCAGGTTACATACGCTTCAGGTTACATACGCTTCAGGTTACATACGCTTCAGGTTACAGACTCTGCTAACCCAGAAATAGTGCTTCAGGTTAAGAACTTTGCTTCAGGATAAGAACAGAAATCGTGCTCCGGCGGTGCGGCAGCAGCAGGAGGCCCCATTAGCTAAAGTGGTACCTCAGGTTAAGAACGGACCTTCAGAACGAATTAAGTACTTAACCTGAGGTACCACTGTATTTTGTTTCGAGGAAAGTTTGGTTCTCTCTCCTCACTTTTCCACCCAAATGTGGCACCTGTTCTTTTATCATGGCTTTCATTTCCATCCATCCATCCCTCCCTTCTGAGGTGTGGGCAACCTTCCTACCTTCAAAAATGAGTAACCATTTCCTGGGGCGATCGTCTCCAAAACAAAAGGTTCCCCCCCCCCCCACAATGGGCTCCCTTAAAGGTTGGCTTTTGGAAGCTACTAGTGGGGGCTGCTGAGAATGGAGAGGGACAAAGCGAGAAATGGGGTGAGGTGGTGCCTTGGAGGGAGAGCTCAGCAGTATGACCAGTTATAACTTCGTTGTCCAGGTGCAACTTCTGTGTCTGCCCACCCAGAGGCTGGAGTTACTACTCCCCATGTTTATTTTATCTAATACAGTGTTACCTCGGGTTACGTACTAAATTTGTTCCGGAGGTCTGTTCTTAACTTGAAACTGTTCTTAACCTGAAGCACCACTTTAGCTAATGGGGCCTCCTGCTGCTGCCGTGCCACTGGAGCACGATTTCTGTTTTCATCTTGAAGCAAAGTTCTTAACCCGAGGTACTACTTCTGGGTTAGCGGAGTCTGTAACCTGAAGCGTATGTAACCCGAGGTACCACTGTACAGTCATACCTCAGGTTGAAGTAGCTTCGGGATAAGTATTTTTGGGTTGTGTGCTGCGGCAACCTGGAAATAACGGAATGTGTTACTTCCGGGTTTCGCTGCTCGCGCATGAGCAGTCAAAATGACATCACACACATGCGCAGAAACGGTGAATCGCGACCCGCGCACTTGCAGACATGTGTTGCATTCTGGATGCGAACGGGGCTCCGGAACGGATTTAGATTTGCCATACGTCTGGAATTTCCTAGACATGTCAGAAATTTATTCCGGCAGGGAGTTTGGAAAATCGGCAAAATATCTAGGAAGATGTTGCCTGAAAAAAGCTAAATGACTTTTGTGTCCTGACTCTTACTTCTAGAAATATGACAATCCTAACTTAGTGAACAATAAGCAGTACATGTAGGGTCCCTGTGGGAAAATCAAAACTTGCTATCCAGATATAAAAGTATTTGTTTATTTTAAGGACCTGTAACAGAGAATACGGGACAACTATTTTAAGATAAGACCTCGCACTGAATCAATGAACCATGGGCTAAGTCGCTTTCACAGTGACAAACAAATTTCCTGTTTTTTTAATGTATTGTATACATTCTCACAGAGCTACATACAAAAGAAAACTTTTCCAGAGTATGCTGATCTTTATTAAAATGAAAGGTTGCAAGATGTAAATTACATTAATATGCCATAGATAAATAATGTCAGGGGCTTTTAACCTTCCGCTGTACATTGTGTTTCATCCACATAGTAGTGATATTTGAGCCAGTCTATTCTGCTGATATATTTTGAGTCCTTCTGGATTAAAAAATGGGGTTTAAAGGGACCTGAATGTCATTTGGAGCAGCTTGTCCCACTAGACAAATATGTCTCTAAGGGCAGAGAAATATCATTTAAATCGAAATCAGAGAGAGGAGATAGCATTTATATTCTACTTTGCCAGATGCAGAAAAGTTTTTACAATGCACCATACTAGCCACAACTATTTATATGGCTTTATCTGTACCTATAAATGGTTGGATATGAGAGGGGCAGATTTAGTTTTAACCACCGCATTCAAATATAGTTGTAGAAATATGCACTGCACAGTGCATACGACTATAAAAACAACAACATTGATTTTTATGCAGAATGAACTTTCTTTGATTAGACACAATTATGTGCATTACACAAGTGGCGTCACTACACGCATTTGCACTTTTTTTTTTTTAACAACAAAGCAACTCCTTTGAAATAAAAGCTTGCAAAGTGCAATAGGCAGGAATTGTTTTTAATTGCAGCAGGTTCTTCAGCTCTAGACATGCTCTGCTCCATACTGGTATGCTTCTAATTTCTTGGACAGATCATCTAGTGGTCAACCGTTAAGGAACATATCACATGGTTGCAGATCAGATTTTGCAGAGGTTTGCCGCACGCGGAAGCACGCGAAACAGCAGTGCATCCACCACTGAAAAGATCTCAAAAGAAAGGATATGTTTTGTAGATATTGCCTCAAGGTATGAAGTGGCCAGCTTGTGAAATTTAGCAAGTGATTCACATTTACATGCCTCTTCCGTTGTCATAGAAGGAAGACGGCTTCTTGCTATTCCTGAGGAGAAAATGAACCATATGCTTTCGATTATCTATATATTAACAATATTTGTTACCCACTCTTCATTGCCATGGGACGCGGGTGGCGCTGTGGGTTAAACCACAGAGCCTAAGACTTGCTGATCAGAAGGTTGGCGGTTCGAATCCACGCGACGGGGTGAGCTCCAGTTGCTCGGTCCCAGCTCCTGCCCACCTAGCAGTTCGAAAGCACGTCAAAGTGCAAGTAGATAAATAGGTACCGCTCTGGCAGGAAGGTAAATGGCATTTCTGTGCACTGCTCTGGTTCGCCAGAAGTGGCTTAGTCATGCTGGCCACATGACCCAGAAGCTGTACGCCGGCTACCTCAGCCAGTAAAGCGAGATAAGCGCTACAACCCCGGAGTCGGTCATGACAGGACCTAATGGTCAGGGGTCCCTTTATCTTTACCTTCATTGCCACAGGCAATCTCAGAGCAGGGTACAATAAATAAAACATTAATATCTAAACCAGTGGTCCCTAATTAGCTGAGTACTGCGGACGCCCTGTTTTTTAAAAGGCTGAGTCATGGACCCCCTTACTTTTGAAAATGTTGATATCTCTGTGGTAGGTTTTTGCTATGTGAATGGTGCCACCAAGCCCTCCAGCATGTCCCAGTACAAAACCAGGATGTGTGTCTTCTGGGCCTCGCTCCCATGTGAGTCACATGACCCATGGGAGAGCACAGCTCCCCAAAATGGGATGTCCTGGACAGAAAACCATTAAACATCTCCATGACAGAAGATATCATGATAGCATAGCTTTCCTCCTCAGTACTTCTCTCTTCAAGGGTAAGCGTCGTCCTTTCATGCAGCTGTTACACACCACAAGTTTAAAAACACACACCCCAAAGAATCCTGGGAACTGTAGTTTGTTCGGATGCTGTGTGGGGTGAACTACAGATCCCAGGATTCTTGAGGGGTAGGTGCCTTAAATGCATGGCATGCACGCAGCCAAGGGGAGAGAGACCATTCCCAAGAAAAATGGCAGTAAGCCCACTAAGAATGCAGTTTCTCAACCAAACTGAAATATATACTGCAGGGAAAGATGCAACACAATGCTTTTCCTTCCTGATATATCGGCCAGATTCTTACTTGAGCATGTTTTCTTATCTGCATTCAAGGTGAATCCTTCATAGCACTCACAACGATGGGAACTGCCACTGGGAACACAGATTTGTTGGCAGTCGTGGGTTCCAGGAGCACAGACGTCCAAAGCTGAAGAATGAACTATTTAAAAAAGAGAGAGAATCGCGATAAATAGGCTTGCACCCTCCCTTTCTCATTAAATATATGCTGAATGAGCTGCCATATCTTTACTTGAACAGGTCTTCTTGTCCGGATTCAAGGTGTGCCCTTCAAAGCAGTCGCAGTGCCAAGAGTCACCGCTGGCGACACAGATCTGTTCGCAGTCATGGTCTCCAGTTGTGCAAACATCCTTTTCTCTAGCTAGGGAGGGAGTTGAGATATACTGCGTAACTTGGTCTTCACAAAGACACACCTATTTAGCACATCCAGACCCTGCCTTTCCATCAAGGGGCCTCAAAGTGGCGTGACCTGGTACAACCATTAGATATACTGTGATCCGTGCAGGATGCACATTCGCAACCTGCAGCATCCACAACCCGCAGTCTGCGCACGTGTGGGTTGTGATTCGGCGCTTCTGCGCATGCGCAAAACGTGATTTAGTGCTTCTGCGCATGTGCAACTGCCGAAACCCAGAAGTAAGCCGTTCTGGTACTTCCGGGTGTCGGCGGTCTGCAACCTGAAAAAACACAACCTGAAGTGTCTGTAACCTGAGGTATGACTGTATATATATATATAGAGAGAGAGAGAGAGAGAGAGAGAGTTCTTGGTTTATAAAGACTTTTGTAAGGGGGGGGGGACAAGACGCGCTAATTGAAAAATGATTCGAATCACCCTCTTGAGGTATTTAGAGAGAGTGGATGTGACATAATAGCTGGGTTTGTCACCTGAGACATGGGGAACTCTCCAACTCAAACTGTACTTTAGCCATGACATGGCAAGGTATAAATAAAGTTTTGGGGATGCTATTCCCTCAGACCCAGCCCTCCTTTACCGGCAATATGGAAATAAATAATAATGACCTACCTTACAAGATAGTTTTGAAGAACAATAAGATTATTCAAATGCGAATAAGAAATCACATTGCTGAATGTTTTTAAACCAAAAAAACCCCCACAAAACCTCCCATCATGAAATGTGCTGGCTAATGAAGCTGCCAGATTCTTACGTGAGCAAGTCCTCTTGTCTTGATTCAAGACGTAGCCTTCAAAGCACTCACAATGCCAGGAGCCATCGCTACTCACACAGATTTGCTCACAATTGTGAGTCCCAGGTACACAGCTCTCCCCACCTAGGACAGATAAGGAACTACATTAATAATTCAACACTAAACTATTTTTTTTTTTAAATGATAAAAAGACCCTCAGAAAATGTATTACGTGAAGGAGCCTCCAGATTCTTCCTTGAGCAAGTTCTTTTATCCGGATTCAAGGTATACCCTTCATAACACTCACAACGCCAGGAGCCATCGCTACTCAAACAAATTTGCTCACAGTTGTGTGTTCCAGGTACACAGTTCTCTTCACCTAGGTTGGATAAGGAACTATATCAATAACTAAATAATAATTTAAAAAACAACAAATCTCTTCATAACGTGTTACCTGAGGGGGCCTCCAACTCCTTCCTTGAGCAAGTTCTCTTGTCGGGATTCAAAATGTACCCTTCATAGCATTCACAGCGCCAGGAGCTGTCTGTACTCACACACAATTGCTCACAGTCGTGGCTTCCAGATGCACAACCCTCTCCACCTAGGGCAGATGTTAAGAAATTACATTAATAGTTGAATAATAAATGGATAAATTACTTAGAAAACAGAAGAAATCTCACAAAATATGTTACCTGAGGGAACCTCCAACTCCTTCCTTGAGCAAGTTCTCTTGTCTGGATTCAAAATGTACCCTTCATAGCACTCACAGTGCCAGGAGCCATCGCTACTCACACACAATTGCTCACAGTCGTGGCTTCCAGATGCACAACCTTCTCCAGCTAGGACAGATAATAAAGAATTACATTAATAACTAAGTTATAAATTACTTTTTTAAATAAAACAAATCTCACAAAACATGTTACCTGAAGGTGCCTCCAACTCCTTCCTTGAGCAAGTTCTCATGTCCGGATTCAAAGTGTACCCTTCATAGCACTCACAGCGCCAGGAGCCGTCTGTACTCACACACAATTGCTCACAGTTATGGCTTCCAGATGCACAACCCTCTCCACCTAGGGCAGATGTTAAGGTCTTACATTAATAATTGAATAATAAATGGATAAATTACTTAGAAAACAGAAGAAATCTCACAAAATGTGTTACCTGAGGGAACCTCCAGCTCCTTCCTTGAGCAAGTTTTCTTGTCCGGATTCAAGGTGTACCCTTCATAGCATTCACAACGCCAGGATCCATCTGTACTTACACACAATTGCTCACAGTCATGGCTTCCAGATGCACAACCCTCTCCACCTAGGGCAGAGGTTTAGGAATTACATTAATAGTTGTACCTTGGAGACCCGAACGTGTTGGTACTTGGACGTTTTGGCTCTCAAACAGCGCAAACCCGGAAGTGAGTGTTCCAGTTTGCGAACGATCTTTGGAACTCAAACGTCTGATGGGACTTCTGCAGCTTCGGATTGGCTGCATAAGCTTCCTGCAGCCAATAGGAAACCACACTTTGTTTTCCGAACGTTTTGGAAGTCGAACAGACTTCCGGAACGGATTCCATTTTACTTCCAAGGCATGACTGTAATAGTTGAACACTAAATGGATAAATTACACAGAAAACAAAATACCGTATTTTTCGCTCTATAAGTCGCACCAGACCATAAGACACAACTAGTTTTTGGAGGAGGAAAACAAGAAAGAAAATATTCTGAATCCCAGAAGCCAGAACAACAAGAGGGATCGCTGCGCAGCGAAAGCAGCGATCCCTCTTGCTGTTCTGGCTTCTGGGATAGCTGCGCAGCCTGCATTAGCTCCATAAGGCGCGCACACATTTCCCCTTACTTTTTAGGAGGGGGAAAGTGAGTCTAATAGAGCAAAAAATACGGTAAATCTCACAAAATGTGTTACCTGAAGAAGCTTCCAACTCCTTCCTTGAGCAAGTTCTCTTGTCTGGATTCAAAATGTACCCTTCATAGCACTCACAGTGCCAGGAGCCATCGCTACTCACACACAATTGCTCACAGTCGTGGCTTCCAGATGCACAACCTTCTCCAGCTAGGACAGATAATAAAGAATTACATTAATAACTAAGTTATAAATTACTTTTTTAAATAAAACAAATCTCACAAAACATGTTACCTGAAGGTGCCTCCAACTCCTTCCTTGAGCAAGTTCTCATGTCCGGATTCAAAGTGTACCCTTCATAGCACTCACAGCGCCAGGAGCCATCGCTACTCACACACAATTGCTCACAGTCATGGCTTCCAGATGCACAACCCTCTCCACCTAGGATGGATGTTAAGGAATTACATTAATACAGTGTTACCTCGGGTTACAGACACTTCAGGTTACAGACTCCGCTAACCCAGAAAGAGTACCTCAGGTTAAGAACTTTGCTTCAGGATGAGAACAGAAATCGCACGGTGGCAGCAGGTGGCCCCATTAGCTAAAGTTGTACCTCAGGTTAAGAACAGTTTCAGGTTAAGAACAGAGCTCCAGAACGAATTAAGTTCTTAACCCGAGGTACCACTGTAGTTGTATAATAAATGGATAAATTACTTAGAAAACAGAAGAAATCTCACAAAATATGTTACCTGAAGAAGTTTCCAACTCTTTCCTTGAGCAAGTTCTCTTGTCCGGATTCAAGGTGTACCCTTCATAACATTCACAGCGCCAGGAGCCATCGCTACTCACACAAAGTTGCTCACAGTTGTGGATCCCAGGCTCACAGGTCTCCCGACCTAGGAGAGGCATTAAGGAACTACATTAATAACGAAATAATAAACTGATAAAAAGCCAAATCTCAACATAAAATGTGTTACCTGAGGGAACCTCCAACTCCTTCCTCGAGCAAGTTCTCTTGTCCGGATTCAAAGTGTACCCTTCATAGCATTCACAACGCCAGGAGCCATCTGTACTCACACACAATTGCTCACAGTCATGGCTTCCAGATGCACAACCCTCTCCACCTTGGACAGATGTTAAGGAATTACATTAATAGTTGGATAATAAATGGATAACTTACTTAGGAAAAAAAGAAATCTCACAAAATGTGTTACCTGAAGAAGCTTCCAACTCCTTCCTCGAGCAAGTTCTCCTGTCTGGATTCAGTGTGTACCCTTCATAGCATTCACAGTGCCAGGAGCCATTCCTACTCACACAAAGCTGCTGACAGTTGTGGGTCCCAGGCCCACAGGTCTCCCGACCTACGAGATATATTAAAGTACTACATTAATGCCTAATTTATAAATTAGGAAAGAACAAATCTTCTCTCAGCATGTGTAACCTGAAGGATCCTCCAGATCCTTCCTTGAGCAAGTTAATTAATAGTTGAATAATAAATTGCTAAATTGCTTAGAAAACAAAATAAATTTCATGAAATGTGATACCTGAGGGGGCCTCCAACTCCTTCCTTGAGCAAGTTCTCTTGTCGGGATTCAAAATGTACCCTTCATAGCACTCACAGCGCCAGGAGCCATCGCTACTCACACACAATTGCTCACAGTCATGGCTTCCAGATGCACAACCTTCTCCAGCTAGGACGGATAATAAGGAATTATATTAACAACTAAATTATAAATTACTTTTTTAAAAAAACAAATATCCTCACAAAACATGTTACCTGAAGGTGCCTCCAACTCCTTCCTTGAGCAAGTTCTCTTGTCCAGATTCAAGGTGTACCCTTCATAACATTCACAGAGCCAGGAGCCATCATTACTCACACAAAGTTGCTCACAGTTGTGGATCCCAGGCTCACAGGTCTGCTGACCTAGGAGAGGCATTAAGGAAGTACTTTAATAACTAAATAATAAATCAATAAAAAACCAAATCTCCTCATAAAATGTGTTACCTGTGGGAGCCTCCAACTCCTTCCTTGAGCAAGTTCTCTTGTCGGGATTCAGTGTGTATCCTTCATAGCATTCACAGCGCCAGGAGCCATCGCTACTCACACAAAGTTGCTCACAATTGTGGGTCCCAAGGGCACAAACATCCACAGCTAGGGAAGGAGTGTACAGAAGAATTATGTCTGATGGTGCCACAGAAAACATTTAATGCTCTCTGGTCAAATAACTTATTAAGCATTTCCTGGCTGAGATGGCACAACTGTCTCATAGAGAGACACAGTTCAGTTTTTATGTGGGGAATTTGTTTATTTTAAACATTTGTATACTGCTGTATCATGAAAAGATATATCAAATCAATTTACATCAATAAAACAATATAATACATTTAAAAAGAAAAAGGGGAAAAAATGGATTTACCTAACAACATACCTTGGATCCTGAATGCCCTGAAACTCAGACGTTTTGACTCCCAAACACCACAAACCCAGAAGTGATTGTTCTAGTTTGCGAATGTTCCTTTGGAACCCGAATGTCCGACGAGGCTTCCGCGGCTTCTGATTGGCTGCAGGAGCTTCCTGCAGCCAATCAGAAGCTGCACTTTGGTTTTCAAACGTTTTGGAAGCTGAACGGACTTCCGGAATGGATTCCGTTCGACTTCTAAGGTACGATTGTATATCCTTATCCTAGCAGCAGAAACAAAAGGGAGTAATCACCATGTAGTGATTATCTTACCACAGAACGTTTTTCGAAATTTGGAAGCCAGCTTTTCTATCACACCATAGGTCTCCACATAAGAAACGTGCTCACTGACCGGCTCACTCACTATCAGCCGCAAGAACTCCATATCCGCTCGGTCAACCCCAACGGCATAAATCTCGATTCCAGAGGCTCGAGCCTTGTAAGCCACCTCATGAACCTGATCCTGAGGTCGGCCATCGGTCACTATAATGACCACCTTAGGGACGTCATGGGAAGAGTCCCTTGCCCCTCCGTCTCTGGTGAAAACTTCGTTGATGGCTGTCTGGATGGCCAAGCCAGTCATAGTCCCCACAGATAATGGATGGATGTGATAGATGGCATTCTTCATGGAAGCTTTGTCAAAGTACTTCTGAAGATTAAATTCAATCTTGACTGTGCTGGCATAGTTTACCACCGCCACACGAGTCGCTCTTTCCCCCACATCCAAGGCTTCAATCAGTTTGGCCAAGAAGGTTTTCACTTTTTCAAACTCCTGAGGCCGGACACTGCGGGAGCTGTCTATTATAAATACAAGGTCTATGGGGCGACTCCGGCATATATCTTCTGCAAGACAATTGAAGCACAATATTCCAAATTAAGTGGCTGGACTTAAAAAAGACTTTGAGAAACTACTCCTGATTTTTTCTTTTTCTTTTACAAGTTGGACTCCAGTGCGGTACAAATGGAAAATCAAGAAATCTGTCTGCATGGGATAGTAATGTGTAGCACAAAATGGTGCAGTTTTAGGCCTGCTCAGAAGTACATTTAAGAAGAATATAGAAGAGTTTAATAGGGCTTACTCCCCTCAGGTGAGTATAAGTTTGCAGTCAAGACTTTAATGATTTTATCTCTGTGAAAGTGTTGAGAATATCAGTGCTCTATATATATATATATATATATATATATATATATATATATATATATATCTACACTAATGGTCATCACAACAGGCTTGACACAATTGGAATAGTGTGTTGTCAGATGAGTGTTTATTGTGGGATTGGAACTCCTCACACATGCAAGTTTTTTTGCGATGTCCTGCCACCCCCATTTAATATGAAGTTACCAATTCTGGAGAAAATCTGAAAGCAGGACACACACACAAACATGTCACCAATGACCCATTTGTGATATTTCAACAACTTCTTTGCAGTTTAAGCCCCTTTCTGGAGATTCAACCATGGTAGCAAGTCAGGGAGAATATTTAACACTTGTGCAACTTTTACAGCTTCTTCAAATTCCCTATCCTCTCTCCACCCCTACCCTGCCTGCCTTATTATGCTTATGCTTAGCCGCATGGCTCTAACAAGCCTCTCTTGAGTTCCTATATACCAATGATTTGGGAACTTTCACCACTTTGCAACTAAGCCAAGTTATACTGCCTGTGCAACTTTTCTGAGGGATGTATGGAATAGCACATGGACCGGACCTTTGAAGGATTCATAAGTGAACCAATTTTTAACTTAACAAATGTGGGGTCTTCTTCTATGCTAGGGGAAGAGGTAAGTTTTAGAACTAACAAGGGCATAATTAAAAGTTCTAACAACCTGTATTTCCATGTGTATTTATAATATATATATTTATATTACTACTTGGCTTTTCTCTAAAGCACCCTGGTATCCTCCAGGTGCTTTGGGCGACAACTTCCATCATCCCTGATCATGTGTCATGCTGGCTATGGGCTTGTGAGAGCTGTAGTCCACAACATCTCGGCTACAGCATTGAGAAAGCCTAGCCTAAAAGTTTCCCAATGTATCATCAGGAATTCTCATCAATCCAATATGGTTGTTGAGTGTTTATGATAGAATGCCTGCCATCATCACATCTCTTGTCAATAAAAAAAGATACACCAAAACAATTTGTGTCCCACCTGCAGACCTGCCAGAAAAAAAGGAGATTGTGTTGGTCCTGAGTGCGGTAACTGTGCCCCTGAAGGACCAGGTGCGCAGCCTGGGAGTCATTTTGGACTCACAGCTGTCCATGGAGGCGCGGGTCAATTCTGTGTCCAGGGCAGCTGTCTACCAGCTTCATCTGGTACACAGGCTGAGACCCTACCTGCCTGCAGACTGTCTCACTAGAGTGGTGCATGTTCTGGTTATCTCCTGCTTGGACTACTGCAATGTGCTCTATGTAGGGCTATCTTTGACCCAGAAACTACAATTAATCCAGAATGCGGCAGCTAGACTGGTGACTGGGAGCGGCCGCCGGGACCACATAATACCAGTCCTGAAAGACCTACATTGTCTCCCAGTACATTTCCGAGCACAATTCAGTGTTGGTGCTGACCTTTAAAGCCCTAAACGGCCTCAGCCCAGTATACCTGAAGGAGCATCTCCACCCCCATCGTTCAGCCTGGACACTGAGGTCCAGCTCCTATTATTATTATTATTATTATTATTATTATTATTTACTGAATATTTGGGAATGCGACATGGAGCATATAGCCAACACCTAGAAAATATGCCTGACCTTTAGCATTTCTCCAGACCCTCTGCCCATAGCACAGAAGCTAAATTACCTGTAGAGGAGACTGTTGCAGAACCCTCGATATCTCCGGAGTAGGGTTCATCAGCCCTTGCTGCAGCTTTTCCGCCAAATGTCTTGCCCTGCAGTGGAATGGAGCGCAAACCTACCCAAACTGAGCGCTTAGGAAACCTGTACCGGACCCCTAAAACTCCAGGCAGTAGTAAGAAAAGGCAAGCGCCAGGCGTCTTGAGTAGCCAGAGCATTTCAGCTGCTTTGGTTTGAACACCAGCTCCTCTACCTCACCGACGCTGTCTGTGTGCTTTTCCTTGAGACAGGTTTTATTTTATTTTTTAAGTTCCTGGCCAGAGAGCAAGTGTGTGGCGGGCAAGGAGAAAGCACAGTCAGTTCACTCCACCCTTTCCCAGGCAGTTTCTTCCGTTGAGTCACCCACGTTCCCTCAGTAGCCTTCTCAGTAATCACAGTGGGGAAAATCAAAGCCAGGTACTTCGCTTCATCAATCAAGTGCTTCAGCTGTCAGGATTTGGGGTGGCCAACTTCAACTTAGCAAGGGGATCAGCTGCAATGAAAACAGGGCACAAAGGGAAGCCAGTATCCAAGAAAAACGCAGGACAGGGTAGGGAAAAAATGTATTTAATTCATCGGCACTAGCATCCGATTTAAATTCATAGGTGACAACCAGGAAAGTGAATTTATCTCTCTACCACCCCCTGTCCAAATATCTTTGGGAAAACTCATACATGCATCTCAAACGAACTCGAGAGATTTAAAGTGATCAGCTAATTGGAAAGTAAAAAAGTATCACCATTTTGGAAGAACCTAGGGAGCTGGCTTGAATTGTGTCAGAACACTAGTTCATCTAACTCAGCAATGCCTAAACTACTCAAGTAATGTTTAAAGCAGCTTTCCCAAGGTTTCAGGCAAGGATCTGGAGATGTCAGGGCTTGAACCCGGGACTTTCTGCATCCTTCTGCCCGACGGCCCTTTTAGCAAAGTTCCCATACCTTCTCTGAACTCAACATGCCTGCTGCATGCTGAATATAGGTAAGTCACATTCAAGCAAATCAGTGTTTAGATAATGGCAATGAAGTTGCACATGTTGTTCTCGGCACATCGACAGAGAGCCAAGGAGCAGGTCTTGGCTTGTTTACATGGATGGACCACCCTCGTATAAACTCCCAAGACGACCAATAGTCCACATTCAGAAATCCTGAGGATCCACGTCAGTGATACAAATGGAGCTGAAATCCTCCTGCTTCCTAAAAATATAACCAGACTTCTCGCAAGCACAGGTATGTACATAAGAACAGAAAAGTATTCAAGAGGTGAGCCCATCATGACCGCATCAAAGGGCTATGTCATCATATCAGAGGATTGCAGCCAACTACGTATTAACCAGAGTAGACACACTAAAATCAATGGGCCTAAGTCAGTCATGCCCATTACTTTTAATGGGTCTGTTTTGGATAGCCTTTTAATTAAAGCCAGAAAAATTGAAACACACAGCACAGTGCACTATCTACCCTGAAAATTGAGGTATCAGCCTGAGAGTCAATATGTTTAACAGCAGTTCTGAGATCTGAAGACCAACTGAACCCCTCCTTGCACCTGTTTTTAAAAGGTGTATGGGGAACACTGCAAAAGTAATGTTTATGCCATGGAGATTGAGATATTGCAGTTAAAGTTGATGTGCATATTCAGGACTGTTTTTTTACCTGCCAAACCTGAACACTGTACAATTTTCCCTCTTGAAAATGGATAGCACAAACAGAAAGGAATCTGTTTTGAAGACAGGGAGATTGCTGTGAACTATGTTTATAGCAGAATTCTGTATCTGAACTTCAAATACCCAGCCTGCACCCCGCATCTGTTTTATGGTTATGGGAAAAGAAAATATACATGTTGCAATGTCCTGAGGGCCAAATTAGACATTAGACAGATCTATATTGGGGATGGGATTCAGCTAAGGAGTCCCATCACCTGCATAAGGGCTTCTGTAACAGAGTTTTTCCCCCACTAAACCCCTAGGCCTCCTGAAATTGGCTTGGGGGGTAGGGGTTGGGAGAACCTCCATAACAGTATGTAGGAGGAAGGGAGGTAAGGCTGTTCTATCTAGCAAACCAAAATGCTTCCCTTAATGGAATGATCACCTTAGTGCAACACTGAATTCCTCCCAAGGTCTTCTTCAAAGCAGCTAAGGGATATTGGATTGGGACCATAATAGTGAAGAGGGGGCTTCTCTCTCCTTCCATCCAGACCAGGCTTTGAGATGGACTTTTGTCAGCCACCCAACTCTCTCCTGGGATCTTCTCCCAAAGGACAGTTGGTGGTGGGCAGGGAAAATCTCTGGAGTAGGCTCAGAGGTAGTCTTTACCCATGTTCCCACTCTCTCCAAGGGTGTACAAGTCTATTGAAGGTGCTTCCCCAAGCATCCTAACATCCCCTAACATCTAGAGCAGGGACGACCAACTCCCAACAGACTCTCACAGTATAAAAAAACTGGAGATGATCTACCCATTGGACCAAAGTTGTTGAGCCTTTTTTAGGAAGCCTAAGGTTTTTTTCCCCTGGGAGGGGGGAGGTCACTAAGGGGCCAAAGATCTACCAGGAACACCTTATAACCCACCCCCCTCTTGAAGAATGGTGCCCACCTCACAATCCCAGCCAATGTTCATATGCAATTTTAATGTGACTAGAGAGACATAGGAAGCACATGCACAGACAGAATATATTGCAAAATTCACTTTTTCAGTCCAGAAGGGAAACCCAACGCCTTGACTTCAAAGTGTATAAAGCAAGTATTGCTAAAATTAACAGTCCATGTTTAATACATAAAGCATATTCTGCAAAATATTACACCTGCCATCACCCCACACCCAAATGTATTACCATATTGGCCTGAATATAAGCCTCGCTTTTTTTCCAAATTCCAACTGTGAAAGTGCGGCTTAAATTCGTGACCTTACAAAAATTGGCTTTCGCAATATCGCTGCTGAAACAGACATACTGTAAAACGGAATGGTTGTGAGTGCCTGCGGAATTTTAAGGGAGCAGCTCATATTCAGGTATTCTTCCCCCACCCCCCCCCCGTATTTTAAAGATGCGGCTTATATTCGGGTCAATACAGTACAGTGGTACCTCGGGTTACATACGCTCCAGGTTACAGACTCCGCTAACCCAGAAATATTACCTCGGGTTAAGAACTTTGTTTCAGGATGAGAACAGAAATCGTGCTACGGCGGCGCAGCGGCAGCAGCAGGAGGCCCCATTAGCTAAAGTGGTGCTTCAGGTTAAGAACGGACCTCCGGAACGAATTAAGTACTTAACCTGAGGTACCACTGTATTTAAAACTGCCTTGGTATCTTTATTTTTTTCTTTCTCTTTCTCTCAAACACACACACACACACACACACACACACACACACAGTGAGATAGAGAATCAATAAACAGAACATGAGATACTACTGAACTCTCAAAAGTCTCCTAGGTCAACCCACAGCTAATAACATTTGTCTCTGGCTCCAGTGATGAAATAGACTTAGCACTGGCACAAAAGAAAAGAGATATGAAAGCAATTTCTTATACCACCACAATGAAAAATGAATGCATATTCTCTGGTAATTGTTTTTGCTTGAAGCTACAGGACTGATTTCAAAGTATGAGTTTTATTTTGGCAGACAAAAAAACCCCAAGAATTATTTTAATGAACACAACGAATGAAATCATACACCACTGGATTATTTTTTTTAACAAGATTTTATTAAACATCATTTATAAACAAAGATGGAAATGCACACAGATTGGAAGCATGCAACTGACACAAATGTAATTTCTTGCTGCACTTTTGCTGCATTCACAGCATATAGGAAAAACTTCAAATTAGTGCCAGCTTTAGGCTTCCTGAACATACTGTTTCAAGGCATTGAATAACAATAAAGAAAGGTACGAGAAAGTGCAAGTAAATATATATATACATATGCATGTGTGTGTATATATATGTATATATATCATATACCACATCTGAACTTCCCACTACAATATAAATGAAGAAGAAAAACACAAGCTGTTATCTTGCCAACTGATCAGATTGTCCTTCAGAACTAATCCATATTTGTAAAATGCCTGATCATGTGAACACCTACGTCCAATACTAATCCTTATTTATCAAATTAAATGAAAACGTAAATGCATATGAATGAAGTTATATACAAATATAGAGGTACTTGCAGAATTAAACCCTAAGGCATAACTGTAAAATGATTGAGATGATCAATGAAATTAAAAACTACTGGCAAGGGGATGATTTTCATATGGATTTTAGTAAGGTTATATCAAATGCCTCTCAACCATGTAGCTTTGCACCTAAAGCCCTGAATATTAAAGCAGTCTGGCAATATAAAAAAGTGAAGCTGGTACGGGTGTTCAACCACAAGTTTTCAGTTTTCTTCAGGCAGGTATGTAAGGAGGTGGAGGTTCCTTCTCTGGCATCTTTACAGCCATTTCATAGGTTGGCAGGACATACTATAGAAGGGAAACACAGATTTTAAATATACATATATATGAGGAAGTTGAGAAACCAATTTCAGATAACCTCGAGAAAGTTTCACTGCTATGTGTTTTTAATAATAATAATAATAAATTTTATTTATACCCCGCCCTCCTCAGCCAAGGCTGGGCTCAGGGCGGCTAACAAGCAATAATAAAAACAAGTTGAATGAATACAACTTAAAAACAAGATTAAAATACAACATTAAAACATTAAAATGCAGCCTCATCACAGGAGGAGAAAGGAAAAAGAAAGAGGGGGAGGGAATCAAATTGACTCCAAGCCAAAGGCCAGGCGGAACAACTCTGTCTTACAGGCCCTGCGGAAAGAAATCAGATCCTGCAGGGCCCTGGTCTCATGAGACAGAGCGTTCCATCAGGCCGGAGCCAGTGTTGAAAAGGCCCTGGCTCTGGCCAAGGCTAATCTAACTTCCTTAAGGCCCGAGACCTCTAGGGTGTTGCTATTTATGGACCTTAAGGTCCTCCGTGGGGCATACCGGGAGAGGCGGTCCCGTCGGTACAAGGGTCCTAGGCCGCGAAGGGCTTTAAAGGTCAAAACCAGCACCTTAAATCTGACCCTGTACTCCACCGGGAGCCAGTGCAGCTCCCATGGCAGAGACCCCGTGAGGAGCCTCGCTGCAGCATTCTGCACCCGCTGGAGTTTCTGGGACAGCTTCAAGGGCAGCCCCACGTAGAGCAAATTACAGTAGTCAAGCCTGGAGGTGACCGTCACATGGATCACTGTGGCCAGGTCAGGGCAGGAAAGGTAAGGGACCAACTGCTTGATGCAGCGAAGGTGGAAAAATGTTGCCTTGGCTGTTGCTGTAACCTGCGCCTCCATGGAAAGGGAGGCGTCAAGGATTACACCCAAACTCTTAACGGAAGGCAATGGCCCTAATTGGGCCCCCGCAAGAGAAGGGAGTTGGTCCCTCATCCCCATACCATCCCGACCCAGCCAGAGGACCTCTGCCTTCGAAGGACAGGCCACAGAACAAAGTGGCTTATTGCTGAACAGTGTGTCAAGTTACCTGCAGCTAAGAGTTTGACAATAAATCCACGGATTCAGAATAACTTTACCCTTAACATAAACATTTTAGATGAAGCTATCACTTTGTGTCTCCTGGTCATGCAAGTACCTGGCTGGTGTTACGAGTGGACTTGCAAAGAACTCCTTCGCCCAATGTCAAAAGATTGCAAATCAGCATAAAATGAAAATTGCTCACATTTTGTGCTACTACTTTATCACAGAAATCAAAGAAAGTATGTTGCTTGGGGGTGACTACTCCACCTCAAGAGTGACAGCATAAAAAATAGTTAAGAGAAAAATGTGATTTCGGAGGCATCCCTCCTGAAAAGTTGCTTACACAGGGAAACCCATTACAGCTATTGCAAGAATTGTACTGCTTTAATAGTAGGTACAGATACAATTTGAAACAGCTACTAATTTAATCATTTGTCAGATGTATTCAGGCCATGGTTTGCCTGGAGAAAGCTTAACCAGAAACCCATCTTTGAATAACACACTAAGTCAAGCCTTAGCTCAACTCAGCATGGTGTTCTAGCAAAAAGGCCCAGGGAAGAGTACAGCAGTTGCAATCTCCTTTCTGGGAGCTTGTATGTTTGCATAGTCCCAGGCTTGCCTAACCTGAATATGCAAACTAGGCCGTTATATAACATTTGCCTTAATACACTGCTGTCAGTTTGAGACCAAAGCTTGTAGCTATCAGATTTTTCATGTTGTTGCATTTTGCATCCAAACACTTATGCTTGACGGAAGAATGCTAATTTGGCACTTGTAAAAAATGAAGTTGGTTCAAAGCATGGGTAGGCAAACTAAGGCCCGGGGGTCAGATCTGGCCCAATCGCCTTCTAAATCCGGCCCGTGGATGGTCCGGGAATCAGCGTGTTTTTACATGAGTAGAATGTGTGCTTTTATTTAAAATGCATCTCTGGGTTATATGTGGGGCAAAGGAATTTATTCATATATTTTTTTTCAAAAAAAATAATAATGAAAAAGTTTGCTGACCCCTGGCTCAAAGACATATAATGTCATCAGCCCTGTCACTCAAAATTACAACTGGCAGCTTATTTTGGTCTTGTCAAGATTTTACCTGTGGAGGTGCTTCAAATGCAGGGTACACTGCGATCTCAGGCAAGTTTCTGTTGCAAATGTATTTATAGCAATTCCACACACAGTTAATTAGGTAGGCCTGCAAGGGGACAAACAATATTTTAAAATAATAAATAGCAGATTTGTAAATTACATTTCTAGGAAGACCATACATACATACATACATACATACATACATACCATTCAGCAGACATGCTATGTAAGTTTATTTAGTTGTTTATTCTAGCACAAAGTAAGTGCTATCATTTTCTAAGGAACTGAAGGCTGCTACAGCTAAAACTACAACACAAACACCTTGTTGTCACAGAGCCAGCACTTCTAGTGCATCAAATTAAAATACCTTCATTTTAGCTGGATAGCATACCAACATCAGCATAATGTATATGGAGAACAAAACAAAGCACAGAGGAATGTAAACTTCAGAACTGCAGGGGAGATGGAATTTAATTGTTTCAACAGTTCCTAACTGTGATTGTGTACTCTTTATGCTTAAAAAGACAGGTTCAGTGCACCAAACAGAAAACTTTTAGACTAGATTCTGAAACTGCTATGAAAGGAGCTAAAATTACCAAACTGAAGAAGTAAAGGGATGGTGTTGAGTGCATCCATTATTTCATGCCTCTAACAGACCTCCACACCTGTCCCCAAGCTAATTTGTAGGCAGAAAATTAAAAAGACAGGCCAGTAACCCCTGATGCATTCCACTGTCTAGAAAGTGTGAACCCTTTCCTGGATGATGGAACAAAGGGGAAAGCAGTATTAACTAGGTAACGTGGTGCTGCAAATAGGCTGCCTCCTAAGTGTTAGAAGTGGGTGGGAAATCTTTAGCCTGTATACTTAATTATGTCTTCCAGGTTCCTAAACTTAGTCCACCAGGGCATTTTGGCAAACTATACCTGCCTGCCGTATGACTATCACATAAAACCAGGCATGAAAATCAATTATCTCCAATCTAAGCACATAGTTTTATACTGTATGGATGTCATGTACTTGCAATGTATAGTTCAGGGGGAAAAATATGTGTCTAAAACACCCTAAATGTTACTGTACTGGTCTGATTGGTAGTAATTTTGTCTTCTTTTTTAACTCTGACCTAGTACAACAGACTCTCTGCTTCACAAGGCCATGCTCCATAAGCTGAAAAGTAAGAAGAATAGGGGCAGACCTTGCAAACTTGTTCTCACATTTAGTAAACATTTGGGGGGGGGGGAAGGGCAGGGCAGAGCTTATTAGTTCCATCCCAATCACCTTTCAGTTTGTGGGGGTTGACCTTGTGAAGTGAGGAGTCCCTTGCACTCATCAAATGCACAGGGAACCTCAAGTACTTCAGAAAATTGTCTTTTAGCTAACAAGGGAATTAGCACACTAATCTCTACTTGCTATAAATCCTGTTTACTTAGCCATAAGTTAAACACTTGAAGAAGGCTATAGAGAAAATTCAGCAACAACACTAGTGTTTCCTAAAAGATTGTAATATCCAAAAACTGACCTTCAAGATGATCACCAAGGCAAAAAACACCAGAACAGTGAACAGAAGACAGCTTGAATCGAGGGAAAGGAGGTCATCTTTGTACGGAAACTCTGGCTAGTGAAGGAAATAGAAATGTTTTAAATATAGACCAGGATAACATTATTCAACAACTTCAAAAGCTATCTTTTGTACTTAGAAGTTATTTTTTAAAGAAAAAAACCTATGTTTCCTAAGCTCTACTTTATTTGTAAACAAAATTAGATGAAATGAAAACAGTTTCATAGAGTATCCATTTAGCTTGTGACAGATACACCTCTGCTTTGGAACCATAGAAGGCAGGCCCATACAAGTCTCCCGACGTATTTAAATATGACACAGATCCATTCTAGGAAGCAAGGAGGAAGTCAATGTGTTTCATTAGCATGGAATCCAAGGCCAACACACAAAGATTTTCCTCAAAAGTTTCAGAAGGGAGGAATACACCAGTCATAACCAGAACAAGGATGTCAGACCTCGTTCTTTTAAAAATGAGTAAGTTATAATGACATTCAACCAAGCTCTAATTTTCATCCACTAAAAATACAGCTAGGAAATATATTTTAACCAATATGCTATAAGAGAGAACACCTGCTGTTAAACAAACAGATGTAGAAATTTTCTTTAGAAATACAGAAGTCAAGATACAAACATACTGGGCATGTATGGAAGTCACTGTAAGAATGAGCCACAGCAAGCCACTCCCTTATTTCCCTCTGCTCCACTGACACAGCCATGAGTTTGGAAGTTTTTGCTTCCAATGTTTATTAACCAGTTTAGCATCAAGTCTACATTGCAAACAAGCCAGCTTCATAACCCATGATCTAAAGCCAGCTTGTTTCTAAACACACACAGTGTTAATTTTTATATTGCAAGGTGGAGTAATTATAAATTAGACATGAAAGCTCCTAAACTGCTCATTGTGGCCAAGGGGGAGAAGGAGGGGGAGCACATAAGCCCAAGGCTCTCTGCAGCTCATTCTCACCATGCGAACTTGGCCTTTATCTGCATATCAAACTCTGATAAAGCATCCCCTTCATCAGGAAAATAATAAATTTGTCTCCGGATCAGAATACAACATTTACATTTAGACACTTACCAGCTGATCCAGGTAGTCCTTTATTCTTGGTAAGTATGTCAAAGAACTTATAGCCACCAGACAGCTGAGAACAAAGTCAAAGAGCTGGTAACAGAAGAATGGAATCAGCCAGCCAACTCGATGCTAAAAGTGCAAAACAAGAATTCATTAATTCTGAAGTGAATCGAATCGAGGAAAGTTTAGTGCTGAAAACCATTCATATATACTTACAGCAATTGCTCCATACACCATCATAGCACTTATTGTGAACATGAGGAGCGAGATAGCAAAGAGAACACATGCATTTTCTGGTGGGAGAAAAACACCAAGAGTCATTTTTAACAATAAAAGTACATCAAGGATTTATATTTGCTGAACATCCAATTAAGTACCTCGCAAAATGGACTGAAAACTTAGACAAATGGCAAAAGCACTGTGCACTGGTTAACAAAAGAGTGCATCAGAATGTAGCAGAAGGAAGAAAAAAATTTGGAAATGTGATCAAAAGTATTGTAGGCCTCTCTAGTAACTGCTTTTTGAACCACTATTTTAAATATACAATATGATGAAGAATTTCTATCACATAAATGGGATATTGCAGCGCACTGACAATCTATCAGTATGTAGGCATAAAAGTTAATATAGAGGCATAATGGAGCTCACCTCTAAGCTACCAGAACACTCTACATCTTTGACAAATTTTAACACACGAATTTTTCACCACAATGAATTATTTTATCTATCTTAGGAAAGCTGGTTGCAAGGGGAGAAGCTAGTTTAACAATGCATATTCCTTAAGAATACTTCATTTTCTTTTTATGTTCTCTATAGTTTCACCATTGTTAGACAACTTTGCAATACTACTCTTCCATTGAGCATCTCAATGTCACTTGGGAGGGAGGGATCACCTTCACTTCTGCAATGGATTTTAGAGCAGCTGTCTTCAACCTTTTCAGACCCATGGCCCACCTTTGACCCAAACATGCATTTGGGGACCCATTTCTTAATCTTTTACAATATATTTGCGTAGCGACAGTGCTCTTGTTGTGACCCACCATGGATCAGACCATGGTCCACTAGCGGGTCCGTTCCCACCAGTTGAAGGCCAACTGAGCTTCAGTCTGCATTTCCTGCTTATCAATTTTTTGACCAAGTCAGCTTGACTCTACACAAATAGAATAAGATACTGTTTAATATCACTTGAGATAGAAGATACTTTGCCATGTTTTATTTGTCTGAAGAAAGTTGAAAAACAGTATGCTAGGCAACACTTAGTCACAAGCATAATTCTTAGCTAAAAAGGGCATTAGTTAAGTTTCTTCTGTCTCCTACTGATGGAGTGTGTTGTTTTCTATACAGATCTTCCATGAACATCTTTCTATTCTGAGAGGTCAGTGTGAACAGACCTCCTGTAAATAGGACTTGTGGAGTGGTGAGGGATCTTCTAATCAATCATCTTCTCACCAAAGAGAAACATGGACATGTTTCCCCATGTTCTCTGGCATATGCAGAAAAGAGGAGAAATTACTGAAAGCCACAAATTATGGCTTGGGAAGCTAAGTGAAGTGTTTGATCCCTGATTAATGTACCTCACAAATGAATTTCAAAACACATTTTGATATGGAGCTATGTACTCTGAAAAACACACAACACACGATATCAAAGATCATTGCTCTCCAGAAAATATATATACCTACCAGCCACCCTCTCAGAGGGATAGTAGCTACCAATGATTTCAGATTGGATATCCACTGTTGGCACAGTATTAGGGTGAGTAACTTCAACAGTCAGCAAAATGCCCATCAACAGATTCACTACCTGCAAAAAACAAAAAAAAGCTACTACATGAGAACGGGGGAAAGCAAAATACTGTACTACAAACCACTTATATAGCAAAGCTTTCTCAGTATATTTACTCAAAACCCCAAAAAGTTCAACAAGGAACGACCCCTAATAAGCACATTTGTGTCTGAAGTTTCCACGTGTCATCTGGTGAGGTTTCAGTGACTCTTTTCCCTGTCTAAAATCTGGCAGGTCTGATAAGCTGGGGGACAGAAGATACAAAAGTTAAAAAACAGCAGACCGCCTGCTTCCATTAGATAAGTTTCTTTCGACCATATTGAAGGCATCAAAACAGCTCTAATTTGCCATTCAGAACTAGAACAGCCAGTAGTGAGTAGCGGACCCGCTTTTATCTTTTTGTTCCACTTCCTGCTCCATGCCACCCACAAGAAATCAAGCAAAGGGCTGCATTCAATTGGGCAGAGGCCACTGTTGGCCCTCACCTCAGTATTTACTCTGGTTTCCACTCCTAAACTTGTATCTAATTTTTTTCCTGTTTTCTACAAAATAAGCACTTAAGAAGCTCCACATTTTCAGCTTTGCATGTCAAGACTGTGACTGATTGGAATAGGATGAGCAAGCTTGAGATAGTTAAAGAGGGGAGGGGGCTTAATTCATCCATTTAGAGCATGGAAGCCTCAGACTAAGAAAGAAAAGAAAATATGGTCTTCCTACTTCCACTTGTTCCTCCTGCACTGCAAGGAGTTGGACTAGATGACCCTTCGGATCCCTTCCGACTCTACAATTCTATGCTTCTTTCATCACATCAACAAATGTGACCCATCCCCTTCTTTTGTTCTTGGCATCATTTCTATGGGGCTGTGCCAGTCCTTGAGGTCTCTAAGGGACTTAACGAGGCTTTTAAAGGAAAGGAATGTAAAAGTAGAAAGGACAGAAGAGATGCAGAAGCTGCTGTTCCAGAATATGTTCTGCTGTCAAGCACAGGAGAGCCCATGCTTTCTAGTTATCGATGAAGAGAGAATTAAGTTTCACAGGGGATAAGATTACCTTCCAATGGCTATTTGCCATGTTGGCTATATACTACCCGCCACTGTCAGAGGCAGTATACCTCTGCATGCCAGTTGCTGGGAATCACAAGAGGGAAGTATGTTGTCAGTGTTTGAAATTAGTCAGGCTCCAGGCACATTTTGCACCTGGCTATTGATTACTTGCGACCAAGTGAAGATGCCTGGGGTACAAGGGTGCCTGACATCTCTACCGTTATGAGGTACATGCCTGGGGATCACTGGATCTAGACTGTTTTCACACACTAAATGCACCATCATGTAGAATTCTATCAGTTATATTTTATCTGTACAACTGGAATGAATTTCTGAAACCAAAATGCTTTTTCTGTGCAGCCTGAGCAGGAGTAGTCACCATTAAGAAGAAGAGGTCAAAATAGGCCAATATACAGGTGGACTGTCCTTGGGATCAAGGGACTTTTCTTTAAATTCTCAATGTTCTTAACCTAGCTCAAGGTTTTCATCTGAACTAGCCAGATGTTTATCTGAGAATTAATCACAGTCAGTCCATCATCTGAAAAATAAGACTTTCAAGCAGTCTTGCCCAAAAATGGCAACTAGACATTCCGTTTTGGCGACTGCAACTCTGGTTTAAGGAGCCATTTAGTGTCTAACATATATCTGAGTTTCTTACACTGGGTTCCACTCTGGTCCTGCTTGCAGGTTTTCTGTAAGCATCTTGTTAGGTATTGTAATAACAAAATACTGGACTAGACGGGCCACTGGCCTGATCTAGTAGTGCTTACGTTCTCCCAACAAACTACAAATTATGTTACATGACCTCCACAAGATCTTGAGAATGAACATTCAACTCTCCATTATTTTGCCTATCCACATGGCTACCGAAACACAACACAAAGTGAAAGCAGAGAAATCTGGAGAGCAAACCACTGCAAGAAGGAAACTTGATGAGAAACTGTGTGACAATCCCACAGATCAAGTTGTCATGCAAATCACCCTTGCAGAGACAAGTGGCAAGGTTGCTAAGGTTGCTAAAAGGAACAACTTGTATGAGTAATACCACTTAATGAAACACAAGCGACTCTTGTTACATTTAACTGAGCTATTAATATATACTGATGCTATGATGAGACCTTTCTAACTCCTGAGAAGTTTTACAAACATTAAGATACCAAGCTGTAGATACCAAGCTGTAGGTATAAAAGCCTGAGCTAAGGAAGGCAGAGGTGATACCACCTGTGTTGTACAAAGGAAACGAAATGTCCATACACTCCTACAGAAACATGGTTACAGACTTAAATGTTATATTTTAAGTCTGGTCCCCCAAAAGAAGTACTGGCCATAGTTCTGGTTATGGGGGAAAAACCAATGTAACTCTCCAAACAGTGTTTGAAACTACCATTGTTCTAGGCACATTTTGTGACACAGAATTTCATTAGCACAAGCAGTTTCTGAGGTCTGGGCGCAGTACTGAGCCTAAGATTTCAGATTAAAACTGAAGAGTGGAAGGAAAAGAGGATCTTTTTCTGCCTCCTCACTTCCAGCTACTCTCTGAAGACTGGAGAAGAGACTCTCTTAAAAATATTAGGGGGGTGAGAAAGGGAAGGACTAGGCTATATGAAAAATGAACATAATATTTTTAGCTGCAGCTCATTCATTTCCAGCTTTGTATTCTTGTTATAAAAAAGCATGTCCAGACATTCTGTTGTTGTGCCCCTCACCTAGGTTTAAGGTGCCATTTAACTCCTAGCTTTCATATCTCAGTTTCTAACACAGTCTCCAAAAACACCAAACTTTGGAACACTAAATTCAAGGCCATTGATTGACTTTAAGATGTGAAGATGCACTAGACACACTAAATGTTTTTAATCTCAGCAAGAAATATCTTCATCTTCCATTCCCCCTCCAGACACATTCCCTACGGATTAACTGAAAACATCACCAACTTTTTGAGGTCTTTGGGCACATCAGCAAACTGGAGAAACTCATGGGCACCATATCACATTTTGCAACCAAGCAATATTGATGACATTAGAATGCCTGTATCAAGACTAATTTCAAACAGGGTGGGGATGTCCTGCAGGCAGAAAAGAAAACCCCTGAAAGCAAATGGGTGCCCATGGGCATTACACCGACAACCACAATGTAGAGTTTCTCTGTTGACTTCAGATCATATTTACGTACAGGAGGCATTGAGTCAATATAAAATATTCACTTTGCAAAACTGCTAACGATTTTTAAACAATTTAAGGACCAGTATTTCCACCACCTAAAAATTGTTCTGTAACATAAAAGGTCATGTTTTCCCACCTAAATGGCTGTTTCAACAAATTCTTATGCTGTCTTCAGTCTCCCAAACTGGTATTAAAAAATGTTTTCCTCCATCTTATAATAAATATCACCAAAGCAACATATTTAGTTGAAAATGAAATCAGCAAGACCGACTCCCAAATAATAGAAGCCACACTGGGAAGCCTCTCTCAAGCTTTTTCAGTTTATTACAACAGTTAAGCAACTTAGGTACAGCATTCTGTATCTGACAATTGTGATACTATTATACCCTGCTCATCTCTCTTAATGATCACCATCAATGAATAATTTAGAAATACAAACTTCACAGTAATCTATTCACCAAAGAGGTATATGCAAGTGGGTTTTGTAACAGGAATTTACATTCACTGCAAAATGAACTATATATCTAGGAAAGGCTGAATATGAACGTGGACAGTTGGAAAAATATAAAGAGCAATAATTTGGCTCCAAATCTTCCTATCAACCCAATGCAGTAGTAAAAAGCTTTACATTTACTTAAAATATTTCAAAGGATTGGATGGTTTGACAATCTACTCTTTCCACCTAAGAAAATATGACTATGGCATGTGTTTAATATTTTGTAAATTGTTTTTTCAGGGAGCATGAATTAAAAATTTAAACTGCACATACAAACCCCCGATGTGATTGTTTTAAAGTATTCTAGCTTACTATTGCTCACATACCAAATCTGAGAAAACATACCATCAAGGAGGGGTGGAAATCAAATGGCAGCAATTGAACAGAATTGAGATATGCTTTTATAAAATGAACCACAACACTTTCCTTTAAGTTTGCAAAAGAGGATTTTGTTTGGCTTATCTTAATAGGTTTGTTATAATCCGCAACACAAACAGAAAACAAAAGTGCCTCATGAATAGACAGGCATTATGTAATAATTTGTGTTCCAAGCAGCCAGTGAACTTTTCCCTATTATAATCTTACCAAAGAACAGAGACTGAAATGCACTTTGCATTGCATTTAATAAGTGTTTTTCTAGGTTAAAACAGAGGAACACAGGTTCACTATACCAAAAAGGGTTTATAGGAGCTGGTCAACTTACTGGTGAAATATGATCAAACACTGGTCAAGGGATGCATCCAGTGCTATTCAAGTGGATTTCCACTTGAACAGTAGGACTTTCCCTTCCGGCTGTTCCAAAATCTGCCCATAATGGTCCTGACTGCAAGTGACAGAGAGGAAAGGGCAGTTCCATTGTGCACATGGAACCTTGTTGCACGAGCAAAACTGCAGTGTTACATACAACCCTCAGTTTTAAAAAGCATTTATTTAGCACAACTACAATTAAAGTCTTATGCTAGTTATGAAAACTCAAGGTATGGCCCAATCCTACTCAGAAATCATACAGTGTTCAACTGGGCTTACTTCTAAGTAAATGTGCATAGGATTGGATCCCTAGTTAATTGAAAGACTATTAAAATAATAAAATTAATGCAATGTATATGCCTCACTAACAATGTTATGCATTATATAAGTATGTGACTATATAACACGTGGAAAAGATATCTGGATAAAAATCTCTATAATTACATACCTCCCTCAACTGAGTATTGATCTGTCTTATTCATCATGATTCCAACTTAAAACTACACTCTGTAGTTTTAAAGTAAACAAAAACAGCTGTAGGAAAGGTCGTGCACCTCCAGTTTTGTTGAAAAGTGTTTTAAGATCTCAATAATATACACACTTGGTTACATTTTTAATTTTACTATGTACTGTAATGCAATCAATGTAAATTATAAGAATAAAAAGAGGCGGAATGCAAGCTCTGCCAAGATTGCCAAAGAGAACAAAGCTAGTTGCTGGTGGCTATAAACAGGATTTTGTTTAAGCCAAACATCAGATTAAAGGAAAATAACATTCCATGAAACTGCGTATTTCAGGATGGCTGTGCCTATTTGCCTACAGGCACCCTGATCTGGACAGGGAGTATGACCTTTTGTCACATACAGTATTGAGAAAAATCCTTGCAATTCAAAGGATATCTGCAAGCAACATAGTAACTGGTCACGTAGCAAAGGGCTAGAGAGCTTGTATGAGCTTTGAGGGCATAGCTACTTTCTGGGGGGGGGGGGGGGATCTCTGCAGAACTCCAAGGAGCCTCATCATCTTCCTGCTCTACCACCTTCTCTGTACTATTATCTCTCCTTCCCCCTCCAATTTCAGGATGCATTTAAGACAGAAGCTTCAAGTCAATGTATTTTTAATTTCCTTACTATAGTATCTAAAGTGTTAACTTCCCAAGTACTTTCCCCAGAATTTTCTCCAAAACCACCTAAGTCACGCAAAAGCTATTTTTGAAAGAAGACATTTTGGATACACACATTACTTAAAAGGCATTTCTTAGGCATTTAACACCATTTCAAAATCTGAAGTTTGTAAGTTCACAATGTGAACTATTGACAATCAGCTAGAGAACACATTAAATATCCTACACAGTCCATAAGGCCACTACACGGTTGCAATATAAATACCAATAGTTCCCATTGTTTTAACTTAAGTTGATCAACAAGCTGAAAGAAACTGCAACTCATAAAGTTTCCTACGTTTACTTTAGTTCATAGAATCTGAAGAAGCTGACATCTCCTTCCACAGAAGAACACACAACAGAACTGCAACTCTATCACACCAGTTTTGTTAGTGCTATGTTGCCATCCACCTGTCTCAAGACAATGCCAACGTTCACGTCCCAAATTTCTATTGATTTCAACAGGGCATAGTTTTGTGTGCATAGGCTTAACTTTTACAGCCTATAGCAGAGGTGGCTGAGCTATGGTGCTCCAGATGTTGTGGAACTCCAACTACCATTAGCTCTAGCCAGTATGACCGAAGATAAATATTGTACCCCAGTAACACCTTAAGGCCAAACCTTAGCTAATCCTTGTTAATCTGAACCCTACTATGCCAGAACAACTACAGCAAACTTCAAACCTACAATGCAATTGATCAAAATGGATGAAATGTGCAACTGTCATTTCTGTGCAAGCTGCTTGAAAATGCTGCGCCATATTTCAGAATCATCGTCCCCCCCCCCCCATTATTTCTGCTATTTATCTATCCATCTCTGCTTCATGTGCTTTTATACCCAAGTAAAAGTCCCATTACCTTGGCCTACTGCCTTGGATGGGTAACTATAAACTTTATTCTAAAATGCAAAGATGCTAGGGAGCTAACAACTTTCACAACTAGATGGGCTGGGGGAAGTTGGGAGTAGACTATTTTAACAATACTACTTACTCCAGTGTTTATAAAACTTGGGTCCTCAGCTGTTGTTGGACTGTGATTCCCATCATCCCTAGTTAGCAGGATCAGGGGTGATGGGAGTTGTAGTCCAACAGCTAGGGATCCAAGCTTGAGAAAATGACTTACTCTGTGCAATAAATTTGCAACTTGGTGCCATTTTTTATTTAAAAAAAAAACATATATTATTTTCTATTATATTACATTCCTTTATGAAGTTTTATTGTTTGAAAATTTCATAGCACTGTATATCCATAATCCATTTTTTTCATTTCAGTTACAATCCTGAGCCTATGGCTTTATTCCTCACTTAACCGGGTTGCAAATTCAAACTCTGATTAAAAGATCTAATTAGTGCTGGTGCATTGGCCAGGAACTAGCCTGATCTGCGCTAGTGTCCCCAAATTAACTTTTTTCCCCACTTTTTTGTTGTCTGAGAGCTTGGGTCTTGTCAAAAGAAACATGTAATCAAGTAGCAGGTTCTGAAAGCACGATTCTGCTACACTACAGTATAAGGGGGGGGGCTTGCCCCTGCTGTAAAATCTCAGAAAGCAGCAAGATGACTATTTTCTGCTTCTTTAAAAAATCCTACCCATGCCAGGCTCAAGGGAGGGGCAAGGAATCAAAAGATTTAAAAAGTAACTTTCCAGTGTTAATCACATTTATGAACCCTAGCTAAAGAGTTGCTATGCCGGAAACGCCTTCTGTAACTACTGCTGTGTGGGAAGTGTCCTATTGACCCAATATTCCCTCCCACCTAGTACAAAGATGCAATCTCTTCCTGCTGAAAGGAAGAGACAACACAAACAGCATCCGTAAGGGTGACTGGTCACCCTCACCATGGAAAGGACAACTGACTGCATGCCAACACTTCCCTGAGTACCAGCAGCTGAAAACATCAAAAATAGAAGATCTTGTGAAGACAAGCAAGTGATACAAAGTGGTGCTGAAAACTCACGGAAGTCATACCCCAACCCCCTCCATGCTAACTAGCGCAAGAGTTTGACCTACAAGAAACACTAGCTGCTAAGTGATTTCCCCACTTCCTTATAGAAGTGGAAACTAATGCTACATATATTATGAACTTTGTAGCAAGTTTCACAAGAAGCAGTGAGTTAATTTCTATTTCAATTAAAATTGCACTCACAACGACAACCTTGCAATTTGCTGTTTCAAAGCCACAATGCTATCTCAGTCAGCATTTTCTCCATAGTATTAAAGTTCCAATTGTCTGGTTTTATTAACTCTTTCAGTAGCATCCTCTTATAATATATCCACTAGCATCTGAAAATAAAGCATAAATCCAGCTGTTGTTTGGAGTCTGGAAACTACAACAATAGACAAAATAAACTAGTAGTTAATTCATTCTGCCCATGGGATCTATATTTTAGGGGAAGGTGTACTATGAACCTTCAGAAGAATTCTCACCACTGTCATCAAAAACTGCAACTCCCAGAATTCTCTATGGAAGAGTGGCAATATTAGAACTAGAAGGAGATGACTGAATTTTATGAAAATAATTCTCAAGAGGAAACTAATTAAGCAGTATATAAACTATTTTTTTTTAGTGTTTCTTCTCTCCTGTCCATCACTGCAGAAACTATAGGACCAGAAACAGACTGAGTAGTCCGTATGGAAAGGGAAAGGAGTAAGAACGAATGTTTAGCACTCAGAGCCCACTCTACTTTGTCCAACTGGCAAAAGAGGCATGTAGCAGGAAAGAATCCTAAGGAGAAGCACAAACCAATTCTCTTACACAAACCTTGGAAGGTCTCTTTCCGACACTACCTCCAGGAGTGTAAAGATGTCACAGGTGAGAGGGTGTCAGATTATTTACTACATTTATATACCAGCTTTCTCTTCCGAGGAGCTCAAGGTGGTGTACGTGGTTCTCCTTCTCCCCATTTCATCCTCACAACAACCATGTGAGGTAGGTTCAGTTGAAAGAGATGGTAACTGGCCAAAGGTCAGCCAGTGAGCTTCCTGGTTGAGCAGTGATTCAAATCCTGGGAGCTCACCCCATCGCAGGGATTCGAACCACCGACCTTCTGATCGGCAAGCCCTAGGCTCTGTGGTTTAACCCACAGCGCCACCCGCGTCCCTTAGGATCTGGGAGACCAGAGTTCAAATCCTCACTCAGCAATGAAGCTCACTGGGGTGGCCTTCGGCCAGCCACGGTCTTTTAGGGCTAACACCAGGATAAAAAGCAGGAGAGCTACGGACAATACGAGACCCTGAGCTACTTAGCAGAAAAACTGGGAACACACAGCAACAAGTGCGCAGCTGCAGGTTTGCTTTCAAAAGGCTTTGCAGCGAGGAAGTAAAGCCTTCGCAGGCAGCCATGCCTAAGGAAGACCAACCGCAGGCGGCCAATCCAGTCTCCTTCCGGAATCGCCGCTCTCCCAGGTCTTACGTATTTGCTGGCAAAGTTCTGGAAAACACTGGGGGGGGGGGTAACACGCATGCGCGGCAGCTCCACGGGGCACGTCAGCGCCCGAGGAAAAAAGGGACGTTGTACGGCGGGCCTGCGCGCACGCGCAATAAAGGCTCCCCATCACCCGGAACATCGCCTCACAACCCCTCCGAACGGACAAAAGCGGCCCTTTCCCCTTAACAGCGAGACCTTCCTTACCATGTACCAAGTGCCCAGGATGATAGTGCCGGTGCGGACATGGCAGCAGCCGCAGCAGCGGGTGCTGTAGAGCCGGTCGCGGGCCCGCTTGAACGTCATGGCGGTGTCGCTAATGGCGCCGGCCCGCTTAGCTCGCCTCGGAACGGAACGCTGAAGGCGCTGAGGGGGTCCCTTAAAAGCGTCCCTACGCGTCCGGATAAACCAATCAGCAAGCGGATCAGGAAGTGAAGGGCTTCCTTTATCAAGCTCGCAGGGCGGGACTACGGCGCGCTATTGGCAGGCGAGCCGGCCACTCACGAGGCTCCCGGCGGCTATGCAGCCCCGCCCACCGACGCCTCACGACAGTACTCGGGAGAAGGAGAGAGGCTGGGTCTCGTGGCCGCGGGGGCGGGGGGGGAAGGAGCGGAGGCGGCTTAAGCGATTGGTCGCGGCCGGGATGTGGGCAGGCGCGCGCTTCGGCCGTTGGCGCCGCGAGCCTGCTCGCGTTTACCTCAGAGTTAAGCCCCGCCCTCACGCTGTCAGTTGGATTAGTGGCGTCCGAGGGGAGGATGCTGAGAGGTTTTGCGGCCTTGACGTGAGGAGAGGAATCTGCTTTAGATTCCCCAGGAGTTAGTCGCTTTGGGTTGCCCTGCGACTGACAAATCTAGTAAATAAATGAAAGCTAAAACAGCAAACCGTTAAAAGCACAAACAAACAAAAGGAGACGATAAAGCAGTTGGTTCCTTGCATTGCAGGGGGCTGAGCTAGATGACCCGCCTTGGGACCCGACTGACATTCTTTGGGAACCTGGAAGTTTCGTTCTTTATGGGCTCCATCCATCATCAACAACAACAGGGTGTGAGACAAGAGCGACTGCCTGTCCCTGTCCTCCATTTTTGGTACAAATATACTCTGAGCGGGAAGGAGGCAGCGGGGAGAAACCTGTGTGCATCCTTCATAGTCAACCATTCTCAATCCCCGGCTCCTCGCACACACAAAAAAAGAAGTTAAAATACTACTAAAGTAGGATACTGGCAAAATTAGGCAACGCAAATGGAATGGGTGTGACGCTGGTTGGCGCAAGAAACCCACTTTCTCCCCCCAACCCTACAAAAAAGAAAGCCATTTGTATGTGTGCCTTTTTTTGGAAAGGAAACTGATGGAGAAATGCAGGGGGCCTAGCACTTGCTTTCTATGTGATGTCGTATATAACCTTGCAGAGTGTATAAGTTCTGTGAAAACTTAATGCCAGCAGATCCTAGGGTGTCTGAAGTTGTCTCCTAGGCACCACTGCAGGTGCCGGCGTCCTGCCTCCTTGCCACCCAGCCTACTCAACAAATTCATTAAGCAAGTGGCTAGCATAAGATTTCCAACTCTTGTTGCTAGCTGTGCTTTGGTGACTTTTAACAGCAACCTGCAGTAAATGAAACTGCTTCCCTTTCCCCCATTGATTGATTGCTAAGAATTTGCCTTGAAAAGTCTATTCAGCGATAACTCCCCTCCCAGGGAAATTTACATAAGCTTTTAAAACCATGCAGTTGCTTTTATACTCTAATCATACATTTTAAAACAGCTTCACTGAAACAGCTGCTAAGTTTTTTCAAGAACATTACATCAATGTGCCTACAATGTGGCACACAGAGAGACTGAAAGTTAACAAGAGAAATCCCTGAATCACAGTAGGCCAAAGTTTAATCGTGCAAGAGCGGCACGCAGGAAGCAAGGTCAATAAACAGTTCAAAGTCATAACATAAGGCGACAGGAAAACCAAGGTCCAAAAACAGTCTGTAATCTAAAACGGGGTGGGGGGTCAGGGAAAACTCGGTACCAGCAGTTTTTGATACAAATGAGGTATAGTATGCAGATATCGATAAAAGGGCCATGGGTGCCTGCAGAAAACGGCTAACAAAAACAAACAAACACAAATGTGAGTACTGTCTGGGTACTAAAGAGCTGGTGCAAAGATAGTGTCATAGCATGCTTGGACTGGAACTGAAGGCTATTAGATCTGAGCCTTAAGAACACAGCTGCAAGTCATCCCTTTTGCTTGCATATTTGATATACTAGCTTACTTGGAAGTATTCATCTACTCCTGAGGAATCCTTCAGGCAGGCACTTTGGCATTTTGCAGCTATCTGTGCCAGCACCTGCACTCCTTAGGGGTCTGCCTCTGCCCCTGACAAGGGGGCAACTTGTACTTTGAGGGGTAATGTTGAATTGTTGCTTCCCCTGAGGCTGCAGATCTCCCTCCCTCCTTCAACACAAGCTGCTCCTCTGTGGTATTTTACTCTGGGCAGTCCAGGTCATCCTCCAAAGGGGATTCCTCTAGTGAGCATCTGACCATATATTTAAAGGACATGGCTTCCCCCCCAATAATCCTGAGAACTGTAGTTTGTTAAGGATGCCAGGCTTGCAGCTCTGTGATGGGGAAACCACAGCTGCTACAGGGAAGCCATGTGTTTTAAAGGTGCGTTGAGTCTGCTCACAATGTCACAAAGTACTCGTAAACCCAGAAAGGTAGCCTCTATCTGATAAGGAAAGTGCTACTTTGGCCTGGAGAGGCAAGGAGATCGTCTCTATTACATTACCTCTGGTACTGCACATTCAAGCAAGATGAATTGCAACTCCTGTAAATCCACTGACTGCTGCCTCTGCCTCGTTTCACTTCTCAAATCTTTGCCATCCTCTCTTGTCGATTACACATTAAACAAAAGAGTGTCACACTCCTCCTGGAAGGGCTAAGCCAGATATGGTCACCTAATGTCACTGCTTTGTTGCCCCTCTCCACAATAACCAACCCCACTGAGTCAAGAGGAAATATTTATTCAGCTGAATATTAATTTCTACCTTCATTTGTTGTATCAGGAAAAGGCATGCTAACAGGTTACATACTCTCACACTTGCACCTCTATAAAGTAACTTTTAGTGCCAACATTTAGTCTGTTACCCCCTTGAGGCAGGGGGCCTGTCCCTCTCTGTAAAAAGAAAAAAGCCATTTGTACGTATCTACAAATAGGTAGATAATTAATAGCAAAAAGTTAAACTAGCAGCCTGGGTGTTTTGATGGCCCAACTCTCCAAGTTTGTTACTGGACAGAGATGAATGAGCTGAGGCAGAATTCCAGTGAAAGCAAAGCTGATCTTTTATTATCTGTTGCAACAAAGTCCCTCCCCTCCCCCCCCTCAGGAGGTGAAGGACCCAAAACAAAGAAAAAACCACTCTCTTGAAAGGTTTGCATTTTGGCATGGAGGAGGATATCCTCTTCTGCAGGGTCACTTGGGATATTTGTCATGTTTACCTTTTTTTTTTTACATACTAAGTGAAGTCAGGCAGACTGTGGTGTCACATTCCTGAAGATCAGCACGTTTTCACACAGTTCCAGACAGACTTTACACAAAGTATTGACACTGGAAATAAGAGTTTCTTGGGGTAGTCTACGTGATAACAGCCGTGCTCAGCAGGATGCAGAGATTTCTTTTATGTAGGGTACCTGAGCAAACAGGGACAACCTTCTAGGGCTATTAACGCAATAGTGTTTGCAGATTCTGGAAGAGGAACTCCTTTAGGCACTTCCCTGATGGGCATCCTGCCTACATGACCCTAGGCTTTAGGGATTATGGAAGACCCAAAGTTTCCCACAATGCAATATCACACCCACACACTATAGGCTCAAGAATCATACATTTACAAGTGATCTTATACATACAGTGGTACCTCGGCTTACATACGCTTCAGGTTACAGACTCCACTAACCCAGAAATAGTGCTTCAGGTTAAGAACTTTGCTTCAGGATGAGAACAGAAATTGTGCTCCGGCGGCGCGGCAGCAGCAGGAGGCCCCATTAGCTAAAGTGGTGCTTCAGGTTAAGAACCGTTTCAGGTTAAGAACGGACCTCCGGAACGAATTAAGTACTTAACCCAAGGTACCACTGTAGTTCCATAGAGAAATTTAGGTTTTCCTTGTTTTAACAGGCTAGAGTGAAAGTTTCTGGCTTAAATGTTGAAGAAAGATGAGAGCATATCTAGGTTGGTGCTTTGGAGTAACATAAGGATACTGTACATTTATTTCATGTGCATCCTGGGGAATTGTGGTGAGGCCCACAACAGATGTATAGAGAAGGAAAAAGCGGGGTGTGATGCAATGGGCATTTTTCTGGTAAAACTCACATCTCAGCTGCTTCATGAGTCAGGCATTTTACCAGCCTGTGTTTCAAAACTGTCCTGGGCTGATGCATAAATGCTTGGAAGTTAAAACACTTTATTTTCATGTATTAAAGAGATATACATCAAAATCACCATGTAAGTGCTATTGCTATACCTTCTATTTTTTTGCAGGGTCCCCCCCAACTTATAAAGTTAGCACCCTGTCATTCAAAACCTCTGTAAATGAGATTTTGGTGTTTCACACAGTCATTTGTGACTTCTCTCCCCACTGTGGGCAGACATACCTTTAAAGTTTTTTTTTGGTACAGTTTCCCACAGTGAATGTTTTTCCTTGTTTGCAACTAGCTGTCGGCTGAGTCGCTGGTAAGATCAAGCATTACTATTCCATAGGGTTCAGTTACAGAACTATGTGTTGAAATCCTGCTGAGATTTGGGCATTGGAAATAACTTTGCGACTCTGCTGAATGTATAAACATGACATAGTTCTCCGTTTAAAGAGCACATTATCACTGGAGGAGGTGTGTTAGAGAGAGTGAAATATACTCAGAGTTGCAAAGTGATTTCATGCTCTTTATTCAGCTCATAGTGGTGAGGAGGAATGTATGAATGTCCCCTCACAGTATCTGCTTTATATACATTATTTACACAATGGGCTGCACATGATTGGCTAATTCTGGAATTCTACTGTAAGCCAATCAGGTTGTGGATTCACTTCTATCTGGAGCAGGATTGGGTGGTTCCTGCCAACCAATCATACTGCTGCATTGTTCTAGGACCAATCAGACTGCTGCATTCTGAATCCTATTGTTCTAGGACCAATCAGACTGCTGCATTTTGGATCCTATTGTTCTAGGACCAATCAGACTGCTGCAGTTTGGATCCTATTCAACTCAGTACATAACAGAGAGTGGGGTGCCTCTTCTCTGATACTAGGTGTTTATATGGCTAATTTGCTTTAGTGAGAGAGGAAGAACTATTGTTTGTGGCTAAACTGGAATCTGGCATCTCAGAACCATCTCAGTTATTTTGCATTTATTTGATGGTATATGTAGTGTTGGAAGTAGGTCCATTGGTGCTTTATTATGGGAATAAGGAGGACAAAGGTTTTGAGAGAGGGGGGCGACTTACTACAGTGGCCTCCAAACGCACTAGTATCACTTCTGCATTCTAAATCTGTAAGGAGAA